TAATTTTTTTTCCTGTGTACTCACATATATGAGTGTGTACGTGTTGACCTGTGTGGCGAACTATATACGGTTACAGAATTATGAAAATATTGCAAACCATGTAATACAGGATGCAAAACAACCACGGGGGGAGTAGAATGATAGTTCTAGGCCTCTCGTGTTGCAATCAACACATCATCAGGAGCTTGTAAAGTTGCATAAAAGAGGAAGATATCCAAGCAAATATGATCCTAGAGGACGTCTTCATTTGGAATCCTCACTCCAGTGAAGATGTCCTCTAGGACCGTATTTGCTTGGACATCCTCATCTTTTCTGCAACTTTGCAAGCTCCTGATAATGCGTTGATTGCAACACGAGAGGCCTAGAGCTATCATTCTACTCCCCCGTGGTTGTTTTGCATGGTTACAGAAGTAGAGGTACGTTCTTAGTGTCCAGTTTTAATATTTAATCTGCCGTACATTTTTCTAAGTTTCCAATAGTCACAGTACACACTAGCTGTTCTGGTCTCATATACGACTTATTTAGCGCTCTATGTGCGATGAAATATTGTATAATGTGATTACTGACAATATGGCGTCTTGTTCTTCCTGTTAACGGTCAAGTAAACATGAGTTAAATGGTGGAAATTGGGATAGACAGGTGGTTTATTATAACGTAATCGCACCCAATAAACACCTACCTCTCTACTTTCATCAATGGAACATCTAACTTTCTACTGAAACATATGTGTCCAATGACACCGGAAGCATCCAATAAAGGGAATAGTGGAACACAAAACAAAAATCATCAACGATAATATCATCACCAGAGCAACTTTTTCCAACAGTCATTTACTGCGGCTGACAAAGGCAACTTGGAGCCCAATGAATGAATAATTGACATCGGTTCATCGTCGTTCTCATTACCTCACAAAACAATTATAATTTGATGTAGGACAAAATGTAATTGAATATACCCAAATGTATTGTTTTTAACCATTGAAACTCTGAACAATAGTTTATCGATAATCATGCTTTTATTATGTGGAAAAAATACTTTCAGGAGGAAATGATACAGGAAATGGCTGACAAAATATACACATACACTGTATATATAAGTCATATTGTCAGGAGTTACGATGTACTCAAGGTAACATTGGGAACAATGTGCTAGTGACTGAGAACAACAGTAAGTTACGATGTACTCAAGGTAACATTGGGAACAATGTGCTAGTGACTGAGAACAACAGTAAGTACTGTCACAAATAATGGACTAGCAATAAATTCTTACATGTTTTGTTTTTTTTAATCTTTGTTGTGTATTGGTAAGTAGGCTGGTCTGATGACTGTCAGGGTTGTGTACTGGTAAGTAGGCTGGTCTGATGACTGTCAGGGTTGTGTATTGGTAAGTAGGCTGGTCTGATGACTGTCAGGGTTGTGTATTGGTAAGTAGACTGGTCTGATGACTGTCAGGGTTGTGTACTGGTAAGTAGGCTGGTCTGATGACTGTCAGGGTTGTGTATTGGTAAGTAGACTGGTCTGATGACTGTCAGGGTTGTGTATTGGTAAGTAGACTGGTCTGATGACTGTCAGGGTTGTGTATTGGTAAGTAGGCTGGTCTGATGACTGTCAGGGTTGTGTATTGGTAAGTAGGCTGGTCTGATGACTGTCATGGTTGTGTATTGGTAAGTAGACTGGTCTGATGACTGTCAGGGTTGTGTATTGGTAAGTAGACTGGTCTGATGACTGTCAGGGTTGTGTATTGGTAAGTAGACTGGTCTGATGACTGTCAGGGTTGTGTACTGGTAAGTAGGCTGGTCTGATGACTGTCAGGGTTGTGTATTGGTAAGTAGACTGGTCTGATGACTGTCAGGGTTGTGTATTGGTAAGTAGACTGGTCTGATGACTGTCAGGGTTGTGTATTGGTAAGTAGGCTGGTCTGATGACTGTCAGGGTTGTGTATTGGTAAGTAGGCTGGTCTGATGACTGTCATGGTTGTGTTTTTGGTAAGTAGACTGGTCTGATGACTGTCAGGGTTGTGTACTGGTAAGTAGGCTGGTCTGATGACTGTCAGGGTTGTGTATTGGTAAGTAGGCTGGTCTGATGACTGTCAGGGTTGTGTATTGGTAAGTAGACTGGTCTGATGACTGTCAGGGTTGTGTATTGGTAAGTAGACTGGTCTGATGACTGTCAGGGTTGTGTATTGGTAAGTAGGCTGGTCTGATGACTGTCATGGTTGTGTATTGGTAAGTAGACTGGTCTGATGACTGTCAGGGTTGTGTACTGGTAAGTAGGCTGGTCTGATGACTGTCAGGGTTGTGTATTGGTAAGTAGGCTGGTCTGATGACTGTCAGGGTTGTGTATTGGTAAGTAGACTGGTCTGATGACTGTCAGGGTTGTGTATTGGTAAGTAGACTGGTCTGATGACTGTCAGGGTTGTGTATTGGTAAGTAGGCTGGTCTGATGACTGTCAGGGTTGTGTATTGGTAAGTAGGCTGGTCTGATGACTGTCAGGGTTGTGTACTGGTAAGTAGGCTGGTCTGATGACTGTCATGGTTGTGTACTGGTAAGTAGGCTGGTCTGATGACTGTCAGGGTTGTGTATTGGTAAGTAGACTGGTCTGATGACTGTTAGGGTTGTGTATTGGTAAGTAGACTGGTCTGATGACTGTCAGGGTTGTGTACTGGTAAGTAGGCTGGTCTGATGACTGTCAGGGTTGTGTACTGGTAAGTAGACTGGTCTGATGACTGTCAGGGTTGTGTACTGGTAAGTAGGCTGGTCTGATGACTGTCAGGGTTGTGTACTGGTAAGTAGACTGGTCTGATGACTGTCAGGGTTGTGTACTGGTAAGTAGGCTGGTGTGATGACTGTTAGGGTTGTGTACTGGTAAGTAGGCTGGTCTGATGACTGTCAGGGTTGTGTACTGGTAAGTAGGCTGGTCTGATGACTGTCAGGGTTGTGTATTGGTAAGTAGGCTGGTCTGATGACTGTCAGGGTTGTGTATTGGTAAGTAGGCTGGTCTGATGACTGTCAGGGTTGTGTATTGGTAAGTAGGCTGGTGTGATGACTGTCAGGGTTGTGTACTGGTAAGTAGGCTGGTCTGATGACTGTCATGGTTGTGTACTGGTAAGTAGGCTGGTCTGATGACTGTCATGGTTGTGTATTGGTAAGTAGGCTGGTCTGATGACTGTCAGGGTTGTGTACTGGTAAGTAGCCTGGTCTGATGACTGTCAGGGTTGTGTACTGGTAAGTAGGCTGGTCTGATGACTGTCAGGGTTGTGTACTGGTAAGTAGGCTGATCTGATGACTGTCAGGGTTGTGTACTGGTAAGTAGGCTGGTCTGATGACTGTCAGGGTTGTGTACTGGTAAGTAGGCTGGTGTGATGACTGTCAGGGTTGTGTACTGGTAAGTAGGCTGGTCTGATGACTGTCAGGGTTGTGTACTGGTAAGTAGGCTGGTCTGATGACTGTCAGGGTTGTGTACTGGTAAGTAGGCTGGTCTGATGACTGTCAGGGTTGTGTACTGGTAAGTAGGCTGGTCTGATGACTGTCAGGGTTGTGTACTGGTAAGTAGGCTGGTCTGATGACTGTCAGGGTTGTGTACTGGTAAGTAGGCTGGTCTGATGACTGTCAGGGTTGTGTACTGGTAAGTAGGCTGGTCTGATGACTGTCAGGGTTGTGTATTGGTAAGTAGGCTGGTCTGATGACTGTCAGGGTTGTGTATTGGTAAGTAGACTGGTCTGATGACTGTCAGGGTTGTGTATTGGTAAGTAGGCTGGTCTGATGACTGTCATGGTTGTGTATTGGTAAGTAGACTGGTCTGATGACTGTCAGGGTTGTGTATTGGTAAGTAGACTGGTCTGATGACTGTCATGGTTGTGTATTGGTAAGTAGACTGGTCTGATGACTGTCATGGTTGTGTATTGGTAAGTAGACTGGTCTGATGACTGTCAGGGTTGTGTACTGGTAAGTAGACTGGTCTGATGACTGTCATGGTTGTGTATTGGTAAGTAGACTGGTCTGATGACTGTCATGGTTGTGTATTAGTAAGTAGACTGGTCTGATGACTGTCATGGTTGTGTATTGGTAAGTAGACTGGTCTGATGACTGTCATGGTTGTGTATTGGTAAGTAGGCTGGTCTGATGACTGTCAGGGTTGTGTACTGGTAAGTAGACTGGTCTGATGACTGTCAGGGTTGTGTACTGGTAAGTAGACTGGTCTGATGACTGTCATGGTTGTGTATTGGTAAGTAGACTGGTCTGATGACTGTCATGGTTGTGTATTGGTAAGTAGACTGGTCTGATGACTGTCATGGTTGTGTATTGGTAAGTAGACTGGTCTGATGACTGTCAGGGTTGTGTACTGGTAAGTAGCCTGGTCTGATGACTGTCAGGGTTGTGTACTGGTAAGTAGCCTGGTCTGATGACTGTCAGGGTTGTGTACTGGTAAGTAGGCTGGTCTGATGACTGTCAGGGTTGTCACTTCCAGTCTCACAAGGTTCCTCATAATGTTGTTTTCACTAAACTATGTGTACCCACTGTGTGTATCCCTGAGCGCCAATGCATTCGGTCAATGGGTCACATCCCCTGATGTAACATGATGACTGTGTTGGTCACAGTGGATGCAGGGTTCACCTACACACTAGAGGGTGGGGTTGATCTTTTTTTTTTTTTTTACATACTTGAATTTACAGCCTAAGAGAGTTATGATCCAACCTCAGCTCAGATCAGGTACACTACACCTTTCGTGGGATGCGACCCACAACAGTCGACTAAGACCCAAGTACCTATTTACTGTCAGGTAAACAGGGGCAACAGATGGAAGGGAACCTGAACAATGTTTCCTCATGTGCAGGGATCGAGCCCCCCCCCCCCTTTAAGTTGTCAGCCGAGAGTACTGCCACTTGAAACCACGGAATGGGATTTTAGTGGGGTTTGGAAAAGTTTTTAGTTGGGTTAGGATGGGTTTGCCTGGGAGACAGTGTTAACCTGAGGTGTCAAGAGTCAGGAAGTTTCACTCACCTTTTCTGAAGCTGCCGGAGGTGGAGTGTCCGTGGTGCGAGTCATGGTGGTGGTGGTGATGGTGGGCACGGGTGGAGGTGCTGCTGCTGGAGGTTGAGGTGGTGGTAGTGGTGTTGGTGGTGGAAGAGGAGGTATGATCGAGGCCTCCACCGCGACGGTGGAGGTGACGCTCCAGAAACCCGCGAGGCATGCCTACCTCTTGCAGTAGTAGCAGGCTACCTCCTGCTGTAGTAGCAGTCTACCTCCCTCACCCACCGTCCCAACACCAACACTTTCATCTTCCTCCTCCTCCTCCCCCTTCTATTACCCTCTCTTCTTCGATTTTTGTCCTTGCAATCACAATCTTTTCGCCTCTTCCTTGAACACGTTCTCTTGCTGCTAGTGTCTCATGACGCCACATCTAAATGCTACTCTCACTTTGTACTGAAATAGTTTATGACTCTCATTAAAATCTTCCTTCTTCTCTACTGTAACTTTCACAGTTTTTCCATTTTTACTTGTCAACAACATTTTTCTCACTTGGCTATTTCCATCTATTGCTGTTGAAGCTGTCTCGCAGATCACAAACCTAGCTAGCACTAGTGGATCACAACACCATAAAGTCAGATCTTAGGGAATTACACCATAAAGTCAGATCTTAGTGGATCACAACACCATAAAATCAATCTTAGTGGATCACAACACCATAAAATTAGATCTTAGTAGATTACAACACCATAAAGTCAGATCTTAGGGGATTACACTATAAAGTCAGATTTTAGTGGATCACAACACCATAAAGTCAGATCTTAGGGAATTACACTATAAAGTCAGATCTTAGTGGATCACAACACCATAAACAAAGATATTAGTGGATAGCGATAACATCAACCTACCACACAGTGAAATACATTAACGTAACACACAGCAGATCACACCACAATGAATGGACAACCTAAGTATCCAACAAGACATGTCAGCGGTCTGTGACAGGCCTGGTCGCAGACCGGGCCGCGGGGGCGATGACCCCCGGAACTCTCTCCAGGTAAACTCCAGGTAAACACAGTTCAGGTGTGTCTTACACACATAATCACCACCATGTATTAACTCTAAATTCTTCCCTAATGCAAGACACAAAGTGTTCTATTATTAATATACTGTGCCACACTGTACTGGAGACACCCGCAATACAACCTATTATCTTCAAATATAATACATTGAAGTGAGCCTTTGTTTTGGAGGTGGGTTGTAAATCCTAGCTCCGGCGAACCTACTACAATACAATATCTCCGGCGAACCTACTACAATACAATATCTCCGGCGAACCTACTACAATACAATAGCTCCAACAAGCAGCCGGAGCTAGGATTTACAACTAACGAGTTAACATCACAGTCACATTGTCAGGAAACATTGTGATATATCCTACGAATAACACCATTGCTAGTTTTCTATTATTCCCTTACACTAAGAAGGAATAACCTTGTTTGTTGCAGGTGGGTGTTGAGTGAAGTTCGCCTACTGAGTAGCTTTTCACCTCTACGCTCACAGGTGGGTGCTAAGTGAAGGTTACACAGTAGTTGTTCACCTCTACACTCCTGCTGCAGTATTAATCAGTCATCAAGAATCCACTAAACAATCTATCTTCAACATAGACGTATTCTTAGCAGGAACACTATACTGACGCGCATTTAGCAGCTATTGTGGCGAGTTTATTAATGCTCCAAACTTACAAGTATTTAATATGTCACTATCTGTTTCCAGACTACAACACTACACTCGTGATGTTCATTTGTTTACCCCTGAAACATAAACAAATAAGTATATATAAACAAACACATAAGTGCACATATAAACATTAATAATTCAAGCTCTCCCGGATGTTTACCTGGAGTTTACCTGGAGAGAGTTCCGGGGGTCAACGCCCCCGCGGCCCGGTCTGTGACCAGGCCTCCTGGTGGATCAGAGCCTGATCAATCAGGAAATTATTTATACAAAGTATAATTTTTTTGTTAATAAATTTATGTTACACTACATTCGAGTGAGCCTTCAATATTTACATATTAAATATTTCCATCCATATTGTTCTGACATTAACAGATTTCATTGTTAACTTCCATTTTATGTAATTATGCCACTAGAAAAACCTGTGAGATAATAACAATAAATTCCCGGGGTTCAATACTTGTATAGTGTGGCAATGCAATAACACGTGTGGATTATTATTATTATTATTATTATTATTATTATTATTATTATTATTATTATTATTATTGCTGATTCGGCTGTTGTTGTGAAGAAGTTGAAAAAGTTGGTAGAGGAATTTGGAAGGGTATTTAAAAGAAGGAAATTAAATGTGAACATAGGAAAGAGCCAGGTAATGAGGGTAACAAAAAATTGATGCAACAAAATATTGGATATCAGATTGGAGGGAGGGAGTATAAAGGAAGTAAATGTTTTCAAATATTTGGGAGTGAACTTGTAGACGGGTGAGTCTACAGATGATGAGGTGAGAAAGGTATGTGCTGTACTGAGGCATCTGTGAAGACAAACAACTTTATCCACGGAGACAAAAAAAAAAACTGGAATGCACAAGATCACAGTGGTACTGACACTGTTGTAGGAGTGTGAAGGTTGAGTTTTACAAGATGCAGCGAAGAGGAGGCTGGAGACAGTGGAGATGTTGTGTTTAAGGGCAATGTGTGGTGAGAATATTATGCAGACAATTCAGAGCATGGAGATTAGGTGTGGGGTTACCAAAAGTAATAAAGGCTGAGGAGGCTTGTTGATGTGGTTTGAGTTACTAGGAGAACTTCTTTTCCCCACTCAGAGTGGAGGGAAAGAAGGGAAGGGGCCGTACAAGGAAAAGTTTGAGATAGGTAAAGGATGTTTTGAGTGCTAGTTTTCATGATTTAACGTGCTGTTAGAGTGCCAGCAGGGTAACATTTATGAAATGATTTAAGAAAACCGCAGAGAAGTACAACCTGCGCTTTGAAATGGGGTGGGGGGAGGACACTGCTGTTTAGTCATCTGAACTGTGATGTCAGCAAGCTTCTGACAAGTCAGTGACTGAATGAGTGATGGTGAAAGTGTTTCTCCTTTTCGAGTCACCCTACCTCCGTGGGAGATAGCTAGTGTATTAAATATTATTATTATTATTACGTATTATTATTTTGACCGTAAGAGTCACACAACGTATGAGGAAGGGAAGGTAATCAAGTTTGATCCCAGGAATGGGAGGGTAGCTTCACTTCTTTGGATCAAGAGCCCTTCACCAGCATCAATAGCGTGTGGAAAATATCCGTATCATTCATTCTCCACCTATAAATTACTAAAGAGTTACTTATAGAAGCGTACAAAGCAACATTTAAGTTATAAGCAATAAGACACCCATTATTATTATTATTATTATTATTATTATTATTATTATTATTATTATTATTATTATTATGACTATTATTATTATTATTATGACTATTATTATTATTACCTTTTATTAATATTAACGACGCCAGGAAGTATGCTAATATTGCTTGAGATTTTAGTCGAATAACAGGACAAAGATGAAGCATTAATAACAGTGTTGAAGGTCTCTGTATCACCGTGTTATATAATACAGCATCAGACGAACACATCTTACCATCAGTTATCAACCATCATAATATAGCACCAGTGAGACACATCTTACCATCAGTTATCAACCATCATAATATAGCACCAGTGAGACACATCTTACCATCAAGTATCAACCATCATAATATAGCACCATGAGACACATCTTACCATCAGTTATCACCATCATAATATAGCACCAGTGAGACACATCTTACCATCATTTATCAACCATCATAATATAGCACCAGTGAGACACATACTTACCATCAAGTATCAACCATCATAATATAGCACCAGTGAGACACATCTTACCATCAGTTATCAACCATCATAATATAGCACCAGTGAGACACATCTTACCATCAAGTATCAACCATCATAATATAGCACCAGTGAGACACATCTTACCATCAGTTATCAACCATCATAATATAGCACCAGTGAGACACATCTTACCATCAGTTATCAACCATCATAATATAGCACCAGTGAGACACATCTTACCATCAGTTATCAACCATCATAATATAGCACCAGTGAGACACATCATACCATCAGTTATCAACCATCATAATATAGCACCAGTGAGACACATCTTACCATCAGTTATCAACCTCATAATATAGCACCAGTGAGACACATCTTACCATCAATTATCAACCATCATAATATAGCACCAGTGAGACACATCTTACCATCAGTTATCAACCATCATAATATAGCACCAGTGAGACACATCTTACCATCAAGTATCAACCATCATAATATAGCACCAGTGAGACACATCTTACCATCAGTTATCAACCATCATAATATAGCACCAGTGAGACACATCTTACCATCAGTTATCAACCATCATAATAAGCACCAGTGAGACACATCTACCATCAGTTATCAACCATCATAATATAGCACCAGTGAGACACATCTTACCATCAAGTATCAACCATCATAATATAGCACCAGTGAGACACATCTTACCATCAGTTATCAACCATCATAATATAAGCATCAGTGAGACACATCTTACCATCAGTTATCAACCATCATAATATAACACCAGTGAGACACATCTTACCATCAGTTATCAACCATCATAATATAGCACCAGTGAGACACATCTTACCATCAAGTATCAACCATCATAATATAGCACCAGTGAGACACATCTTACCATCAAGTATCAACCATCATAATATAGCACCAGTGAGACACATCTTACCATCAAGTATCAACCATCATAATATAGCACCAGTGAGACACATCTTACCATCAAGTATCAACCATCATAATATAACACCAGTGAGACACATCTTACCATCAAGTATCAACCATCATAATATAACACCAGTGAGACACATCTTACCATCAAGTATCAACCATCATAATATAACACCAGTGAGACACATCTTACCATCAGTTATCAACCATCATAATATAGCACCAGTGAGACACATCTTACCATCAAGTATCAACCATCATAATATAGCACCAGTGAGACACATCTTACCATCAGTTATCAACCATCATAATATAGCACCAGTGAGACACATCTTACCATCAAGTATCAACCATCATAATATAGCGCCAGTGAGACACATCTTACCATCAAGTATCAACCATCATAATATAACACCAGTGAGACACATCTTACCATCAAGTATCAACCATCATAATATAACACCAGTGAGACACATCTTACCATCAATTATCAACCATCATAATATAATCAATCATTCACTTCTCCGCTGAACTATGTTCCTCAGTAGGATTTATCAATTATTCTTTTAGATTACATTTCATTAATAACGTCACAAGTATGACGATAAAAATAATGAAAAATCATTTCTGAAAATTAAAGTAAGTTAACTTGATAAGTTTCGGTAACTTAAAAACTTTAAATAAGGCATTTAGATGCATAATGACATACGAGAGTGAACGGGAGCCTGGGGAGGAGGCGGGACTGGATCAAGAACCTTTTATTAACATCAAGGCATTTACCTTCAAGGTAAGAGAATTTTGTGTTAGTGAGCACGTACAGAAAGTGGACCCAATGATGAGCAAATTTAATGAAGTGGTTACTTGATTAGTGTTATTATTCTAGCGATACACAGTGATGAGTCAGTCACCTCAGCTACTGGATACCCGGATATCCACCAATGTTTTACGATGGAAACTCTCAAGCAAATCGTGTTTTGTTAAGGCGGGTTAGGTTATTTTTACGTGACA